TAGGAGTTTGGGGTTGTAAAATAAGTGAAAAGGAAATTCAAAAGATGAACTTACACCAATACTATGTTAAGTTCCTCCAGGAAGAGGGAGGATAAGGGGGAGAAACTACCTGGTTGACTTTCCCAATATAGAAGTGATTTCTTGTCCATGTTTGGACAGATTAGAATTGGACGGGTTAAGCTTGTCATGGAGGAGTAGCTGACCCTTCACTATCATTTCACCTCCATACTGAACGAGAAAAATGATCCGGCGCCCCACTACCTTACCTAAAGCAAACCCAGCCTAAGGGGGACCAAGCCGCAAATCCCTCCCCCCGCCTGCACCTCCCCTCCCACCTTACCTATACATATATATATATATATATATAGTAGGAAAATTGACAAAAAAAACTGTTAGATATCCATCAAAAACTAGGCAATTTTTAGTTGGCACAGACACCAATATTATAAATATAAGCGAAAAATTCCAATCTGCATGTAAAGTTAATAAATAGCAATTTGGCTATTGCTACTAAAAAGATCGACTTAAAGAAATAGAAAAACGTGAGTCACCAAACTCCATATCCGATGATGACTCTTCTTCTATATCAACATCACTGCCCGTGTCTCCAGAGCCCTGACGCCTCACAAATGATTTTCATGTCTTCCATAAAGCGATCCACATCAAAGCCCACTTCCTTTACGCTCCTATAGGAGGTAGAGAATAGGCCGAAATGAGTTACTGGAGGATGGGACGCACATGCTTCTTTGTTCACCAGTTTGACTAATTACACCTTTATTTTCAAAGAGATGTTGCTAACATAGAATATAGATACAGTAGGGTTAACCAAACTAGCCCTCCTTATATCTATTAGAAGGAACTTAATTATTATGACCAGATTTAGGATGCAGTCTCTTGCTTCATAACTATCTGATCTAATTCTACCCTTGCACCCTAGAATACGTACAAAGACAATCACTATAATCAGCAAGTCAGTTAATCCAAATAGCATAAACCCAATAATTATAAGATGTTACAATGTAACCTCTTGTCAGCAAAAAAAAATAAAAGAGATCAAGCATATGATACTCCACGTGTAGAAATGAGAAGAATGAAGGACAAAAACCTGTCTTATGGAACCTCTGCACCTTCATAGCTGGCCACTTTCGTAACAAGTGCTTGCATAGACTTTGATATATCTTTAAGATCAAAATTATCAGAACCATTGTTGGGCCCATCCTGCTCTTTCGATTTCTGTTTCCTTTTTGAATTGTAAAGTTCCATCTCCTTTTGCCTCTCTTGAAGAGCGGCATTTAGCTCATCCTCCCCATCATAAAGCCATGAATCATCATCAGACGGTGGCAGCTCCTGATCCTTAAAGTCATCAGCAGACTCAGGATTGCCAAGGATCTCATCTATTCTTCGAACTGGTGCACTTAGTATATCACTGCTTTTCTAAATAGTTGGTTAATAGCACGTTAAGGAATACTTATATGACATACAAGGGCATCTCAGACAAGATTAATACTCCCTCCGTTCCAGTTTATGTGAACCTATTTCCTTTTTGGTCCGTTGCAAAAAGAATGGCCCCTTTCTAAATTTGGAAATAATTTAAGCTTAAACTTCCAATTCTATCCTTAATGAGAAGCTTTTATAACCACACAAATACTCTGGGCCCCATTTTAACTTATTTAGGACCACAAATTCCAAAAGTCTTCATTTTTTCTTAAACTCCGTGCCCAGTCAAACAGGTTCACATAAATTGGAACAGAGGGAGTATAAACAGTAATATCAGCATATCAAGCAATAAGAGGAGAAATTGGTGAAAATACAAGCAAAGAGAAATGTGACCATTACAGTAAACAATACGACCACATCACTTACATTACATTTTCAAGCTTTCCTTTTAGTAAGGTAAGAAGTAATAATTCAAAGACTAACAACTGGACAAAATGTGTTTCTCTGGAAGAATCAGATCATGGTTCGCATCCAGCTCCAACTTTCTTTTAAATAAAAAGGGTAAAAGGTTTACAAAATCCGGTATCGTTACTGTATACACAAATTCTGCTATGCAGATGCTTCAGATTTTCCTTTTTCACATCTAGGACACATAGGAAAGTATACAACATTTTGAACTTGTAATGGAAGTCCATAGCATATGGTAGGTCATACGATGTATCATAAATCAACTAAAGCTACACAGATACACTGAAGAGACATTTTAGCCTAGGATAGGTGAAGCTGCCAGTGATACCACATAGATCCTGACAATGCAATGTCCATAATGTTTCTACCTGATGTGCAGAAATTTTGTACTATGAACACGATGGCATAACTTATTTTTACCCAAATCTGCAGATATCATTAGTGGTGCTCTTACGATGTCACCCACATTTTTGTTTGTTACTTCATTACAAGAAGCCATTGCATACACCCTCCCCCAACCTCACTACAAACACACAGACAGACACACCAAATGCCAAATATAGCTCAAACTCATCCTACCCAAGTAACCAATTGTATCAAGTTTATGAAACAAATTCTAATAGTGAACTATTTTTTCATCGAACGTAAATGTGCATCTTCTATAATTTCATCTTTAAAAAATCAAGATTTATACAAACTAACAAACAGCAAGTAACCTTTCTCTAGCATGCAGTGAACTTTTCTTGTAATACTCCTCAGCATTCTGCATCAATCTTTTATACTCCTTTGATCCTTGCAACAGCCCTTCAAAATATCCACTCCGTTCAAGACTCTGCTTAAACACCTCCCAAGTACTCCCTCCATTTCCCCTAATCCCCTGCTTCTTCCTCAACTGATACATCATCTCAAACCCACAAGTAATTTTCATCTCTAGCTCAGCATCCTCATAACCCTCCACATCACTCCTAGGTAGCAAACCCAAATAGCATTTCGGCGCCTGAAACATCCGCTGCACCAACAGTGAATTCATTGCCCTAGACATCCTGATCACCACCCTAACCAACTCCTCCCCACTACCCCACCCCCTAAAAACCTCTCCATCTTCGCCGCGAACTTCATTGTATTGATATCACTACTCAACAGCTAAAAGAGCATGAGGAGGGCAATGTAATGTTGCTTCACACACTTTTTAGGTCATTAGTCAACAGTTCCCTGGACAGCGAAATAGGGGTGACTTCCGCCACGTTTGCAGTGCTGAGCTATTACGTTATTGCTCATTGGGTTCTTAGAATATTGTATTCTGTTTAAATGTGCTCATTCTAATTAATTAAACTCAGAGTTCTGGTGTTAGTCATGTAGCAGATTCTTTCATTATTTTTTGGTTATGAAGCTGGAACATGAGCAAGTATTATTAATAGTCTCTCTCTACGTTTGGCCCGTGCTCTAGTTCCTTATAAAGCAGGAAATATCACCCTATGTCCTTTTTGAGGTGTCTCTTTAAATTTTGTCCGCTTTTAAAAGAACTTTTTCAGACACAAGTGGAAGACTAGAGCCAGCCTCTTCTTGCTCCTCCTCCTCCTCCTCCTCCTCCTCCTCGCTTCTTCTTCTTCCTCTTTTTCTGCTTCTTTCTTATCTGAAGCTTGGTACAAGCAGTTTCAAACTCAAAACCATTGAACTGAAGTTCAGTTGCAGTAGTTTGGAACTTCAAACCACTGTTTAGAAGTTCAAAACTAATCTGATTAAACCTTTAAAATACTGTTTCATAAGTTCAGAGGATTGTAGTTGTATGTATGGCACAACTCTAAATCCTGATCAATTTCAAGCTAAAAAAATCCAGAAAAATAACATTAATCGTTTTAACTCTATCTCTTGCCCTAGTTTCCAGCTGCTTCTTTTTTCCCTTTTCTCTCTAAACTAACATCAGAAAGGAAACTTCAACTTGCACAAGACCCTGTAAGCATAAAGAATATAGCAAATGTTGATTCCAGCAGCAAAACCTTGTGGAGACCTGAAACTTGAGATACAGATATACTGACAAGGAATAGCATTGCCAAATCCTCATAGAAAGGACCTTGCGCTTTCTACATAGCCGAACTGTCTTCAGGCCTTGAATCGAACCCATCATTAAAAAGTTAAAAGTTAAAGTTTACTTTCTTCTTCCCAATACAAGACTCAATATGCTTGTCAACTGATCCTTCTACAAATATTACAATACTGCTGTAGTTTACAATAGCAAGTGAGCAATTTTCTTTGTTTTTTCCTTTTTTTCTTCTTTGTTGTGGGGGGGATAAACTTACCAAGGGTCATACCCGCTGCTACTAGACACTGCTTGTAAGCCTGATGCCAGTAGAAATAAATCTACCCAGGAAAAAGAGTTTGCAGTCAGATCAAAGCAAAGTATACAAGGACCACAGTTACCTAGATTAAAGAAGGTATACTATCATCTGTAGAGAAACATGAATAACTTCATGGAACTTATACCAAATAGGAGGTTAATGATTCAGCAGAACTCCGGCATGATACTTCTTCAGGAATCAAGAGCATCTCCATGTTCGCGTAAAGGTATCACCCTTCAAATATTAACATCTGTCGACCTCAACGCCTCAACCCATAGTCTCTCAAAATAATCCACAGCAATCAATACCATAATGTAATAGCCAATGCAACTTCTCATAAAATTGAAAACCGAATAAGAAGTCACTTTGAACATCAGCAATTCTTTATCCTTTTCTCCCTACAGAGAGTGGTTGAGCATGTCGAGTAATTCATTATCCCTCAAAATGCACCGTAAGGACAATACAACCCCCATTACTTATTGATTGAAATATAACGATCCCACAAGCAAGAAATTTGAGAAGAATTAATACGATCCAATAAAATAAGAATGAGTCTTCGTGATTGATTAGCAATGCATCTCCCAGAAGAGTCTGGTTGAAGGCATTTAAGTAAAAGTGTCGTTCAATTGCCATTAAGCAAACAATCTGAAGAAAGACAATCAGAAGGATATTGCCTTCTATTTGACTTTTACCTCACCCACCGCCCCTAATAAACTTCTGAAGAATATTCAAGAAATTCAGGGAACTGACATTCCAAACTTGCAACAAAGAACCCAAAGGAATTGAATACAGTGCATATTTTCTGAAACATCTAAGTTGTTTAGTGTAAATGTTATTCATCAAGGTTTTATTATAATCTTAAATGCAATGATACTTCAAACTATTTTACAACTTCAACAGAAGACATGATAAGAAACTAAAAAACAAGATCTGGTATCACTTCCTCTCTTAAAATAAGGTACATTAAAGTAAAAGAAGAAAAAGTTTGACTTCCCTTTTTCAGGGTGCTCTAGGGTCCATTCCATGTTGCCAAACATAAACAAGTTCATCCCATCCTGTACTAGCCAATAGCCCTTCAACGAGAACGCTCATATCAACTCCGACAGCAAACTCTGTGTGATGATCATACCTCCCAATAAGGGCATCTTCCACCATGTAATCCCACATGCAAACAGTCATGTCATATGAACATGAAACCATCGCACTCGCTCTATGTGGCGAAAACCTCACTTTCCTCACTGCATATCCATGCCCATTAAGCACGGAAATTGGCACTCTATAATTCCTAACATCCCAAACCTTGATTGACTTATCAACTGACGCGGTTGCAATGATACAATCATCATACTTATTCCAGTCACATGAGAGAATTTCAAACTCGTGTGCAGGCAGAATCATGGTAGACCCTACACAAATCATGAGTTAAATGAATTAACAAAATTCTAACAATTTAAATGGAATACTCATACATGCAGAACAACTTCCAAGGACATGACCCTTGATAGAAAGGTGTGGAGGTCGAGAATTATGGTAGAAGGTTAGTAGGACGTTGAGCATAATCTCTTTTCATACCTATTGTATCATCCCGGAAACAGCCTCTCTATCCCCTCCGGGGTAGGGCTAAGGTCCGCGTACATTCTACCCTCCTCAGACCCCACTGGTGGGATTATACTGGGTTGTTGTTGTTGTATACCTATTGTATCATCAATATTCTAGCAGTTTCTTATACGTAGATCTCTAGTACTACCGGTTGTCTTTTTTGCTGTGTTTGCCTTATTATCATGCTGTTGTTACTGCTTCTTTTTAACATTGGCTTCACCATTGATGTGTTTCTTTTCAATTATATTGTGACTATACTTTTTTTGAGTCGAGGGTCTCGGAAATTAACTCAAATTAACAAATTTTTTCTTAAGTACTCATTCAAAGCAAAGATCAACCAAATACATCCTTAAAAGGCTGTATGAACCAAACTATCGATCAAGGAAAATATTTGGGGGAAGCAAACCTGGTTCACGGACATCCCAGATACGAGTAGTACAATCCCCAGAAGCAGATGCAAAAATATCAGCATGCCTTGGATTCCAAGCTGTGGAATACACACAATAAGCATGCTCCTTAAAAGTCCGTACACTAGCATTCCTGTCCACTGTCCACAGCTTCACAGTATCGTCCCAAGAAGCTGACAAGAAGGAATCTTTTCTCACTGTATTATAATCTACAGCGTGTACTTCACGTGTATGTTCCTTGAAGGCACGAATCGGGTTGTTGGTGGGAGGCAAAGAAAGGTCGTAGAGCTTCACAGAACCATCGCCGCTTGCGGCGATTACGAGGGAATCGTGAGCTTCAGACCAGCAAACGTCGTAAACGCCGTCAGCGGTGTCGTAAGCGGCGATTTCCGATATGGGTCCGTTTGGAGTGAGCTGAAGAATGTGAACTCTGCCGTTACCAAGGATGCCGAAATTCTGTGCGGTGGCGACGGCGATTTTGTTTTCGTAAAAGGGGCTGAATTTGACGGAGTAACCGTTAAAGGGGGTTCTGAATACCGGCATCTTAGTCGGTGGTTGGTGGTGCTGGTGGTTGGGGGATTAACCCTTTGGTTACTCGATGTAACTTCATCCGCTCGGGAATAGGAAATTTTATTATGTATAGACGGACGGACTGTAACTAAGGTGGGCCGGGCCGGGACTGTGTTATTTGGACCCGTACGGGTTTGATTTCGGGCCGGTTTCGGACTAGGTCTTAACGGGTTTAATGGGTTCGGGTTCATCCGGGTAAAAATTGAACCGTAAGGGTTATGGGTTGAGGGGGCCGGGCCGGGTTTATTGTTTTTTTAATTTTTTTTTTTTGGAATTTTGTATAACTATTATAAGTTATATTAATACTTTGTATTAATTTAAAGAATACAAGGAAGATGAGAAAAAATTGCACTTATTGGAAGTGCTACTTTTATTTCATAATTCAAATTTCAAACTTACAAATTGAAAGGTTTACATTTTTAACAACAAGTAAATTCAAAGGTTTTGCATTGCCTTAGTAAGTTCGTCATAATCAATATGAACTGAGTGACCTTCTTCTGGAGTGTTAAATTCGGATGGGTTACCATGTGTTAATATATCTCCAAGTTCCTCGTCTTCTGGGCTATCAACATCTTCACGTCCTTGATTTCTTCTTTCTGATCTAATCCAATCTCTAAAACATACTAAAACTTCCAAAGCATTGCTTCCCAATAAGTGACGGGTGTCTCCAAGTTGTTGTCTTGCTTGGCTAAATAGCACTCTCCGATGCAACAGTTGAAATTGGCACATTCAGCACGTCCCGAGCCATTGTGAAAAGAACAGGAAATTGCTTTCCGTTCTCATGCCACCATCCCAACGGTGAAAATTCCTTTGTGCGGGGCTCTTTTTGCTTCTGCAAGTAGAATTGAAGTTCATCAATGTTCCTGCAACTTGTTTGAGTGTTAGAAAATGTAAAAAAAATATTAAAACTATCATCAAAGCCTTCTTCATCATTCACAGTAGCAGAAGTGCTACATTGCATAGTAGGATTAACATTGCCTACAGTACGAGCAGCATCATTAATTACATTTGCATAATAATTATATAATTTCTGTAAATAATCATTTAGGTTGTTCATAGAAACATATAAATTTGGGGTTTCAGTTTCTCCAATCTCTATATAAATATATAAAGAAGGGGGTATTTATAGTTTTAGAGAAGGTTAATTTTGTAAAATCAAAAAAAGTTAAAAATAAAATAAAAAATGGCTATTTTTGCAATTGATCCGTTGGCTAACGGATCAGTTCAATTTCTGACCGTTGCCAACGGTCAATGGGACCCACACCTGCCAAAAATTAAAAAAAAAAACAAAAAAAAAATTCTAGCCGTTAAACCGGGCTGGTTAAATCGCTTACATGTACTGTTCATCAGGACTGGGCTTACCGGGTCCGGTTAACCGGTGAAAAATTTTAAACGGTACAAACCCCTATAACCCCCCAACCCAGCCCACCCGGCCCCTTATGAACCGGGCCGGTCCGGTTCCGTTTTTAACCGGTCTGGGCCGGTCCGGTTCCCGGTCAACCCGGCCCGTTAGCCACCCATAACTGTAACTGTACTTTAGACCGTGAAATTACCTTGGACTATGAGGTCAATCCAACCCAGTTCCTTAATTAGGTTAAACATTTTTCACCTCATCCAAACCTTAAAGCTATTTCCTTCCTTTCTGTAATCTATTGACGCGTAGAGGTCTTTCCCAATATTTTTGGATATGATAGCAAAATATTATTATTGAGACACATATTATAATATAACATAATAATTATTTTCGGAAAAGATTAATTTTTATAGTGAATTGTTGTTATATAGAGATTTTGTTATAGAGATGTATGACTATATTATCTTTTGTCTCAAATATATCCGTGAACAATTAAAAATATTTAAGAATTCATTAATGGTAAAAGCCATATGAAGATAGACTTAAATTTTTTTAATTATCTAAATAAAGTACGATTTATCTTTGACATCATTTTGTTCCTATAAAATATTTGAAATTTATTTATCCAAAATTATCTTAATTTGGTACATTACCCTCCCTAACTGTAGTTTACTTACAATTCATTATTAGTGCCTTAAATTAGGGATTCAGTTACACCATTTTTCTTTTGTCTCTCTTCTCCTCTTTCCATATTCTTTGTTGCATCTCTCCACCCAAAAGCATGGAGAGTTGAATATTGAATCCTGGATGCACACCTCTGTGAAACTCAAATTTTAATAAAATGTTCAACGCCTCCACCAATCCAGAGGGTCGGATCCAGATCCAAGCGCCGCATGGAAATAACTATTGTTCCATAAAAATATCAATCCGCTCGAATATCCAAATGTGCAATAATCATATTAATCTACACAATATCTCTATCTCTGAAGTGGTATGCATATGTTCAAGAAACAACCAATAAGATGCATGACATAATAAATAAGGATGTGGATAAATAATTATGAGATAAAGTATGACTACGGACAAAACAAGTGTATCAACATCTCAAGAATATCCCATCATGCTCAAATAATATATCATAAGCTAAAACATGATTTCTAGCATGATTGAAATAAGCTCACGTAGCCATTCAATCAATTAATGCATAAATCAAGAAGAACAAATAACCAATAAAGACATAAAGAAGCCTAAAACTACCACAAATGTGGTATAGCCTTAGTATACATATATACTCTCTCAACTTACATATATATGTTGCCCCAAGTAGCATATAGCAATAACTTCAATTTGTAGAAAATTTCTTCTTAACAAGGTTAGACAAGAAACTTACCTCCTCTCAAAACTGCTTCAACCTTCTAATACCACTTTCCTTTGAAATTCTCCTCCAAATTACCCAAATCTAACCATACAATACTTTATGGGGTCAAATAAAGTCATAGAAATCAATTCCAAATAATAAAGTTGCAATATTGAATAAGATTTCAAAAAGCCAGCAAAAGTCAACCCGAGCCCATATGGTTAAAACCCAAATCCAAGGTCAAATCATGTTGGGCCATAACCCGATGAGTCCAAATATGTGTTTAGTTTTCAAATCCTAGTCCAAATTGATGTTCTAAATCTCAAATTACGCTATCTTAAGTGATAGACGAGTACCCTAAATTTAACTCTTAAATTTCATATTTGAGGTATAGAAATCTACGAGGAATCAAGATATATGATCAAATCCAAGTAAATGTGCAAGCCCCATCAGCAAGTGCGGCTTCTGCACTTGTGACCTCATCCTCGCAGGTGCCGCTGCACCTAACACCAGAAATCTATTCACTCTCCCAAAATAGTTCGAAACTAACCCGAAATACACTCGAGTCCTTCGGAACCACGTCTAGTCCTCCTGACATGTTCATATACCTTATTCAAACTTATCCAAAAGTTCAGAACACTAAAAGCAATATCAAAACTAAGAATCACGTATCAAACCAAAAATCTTAACTTTCTTAAGTTCAAAATTCCAGCTTTCAACGTCAAATCACCCCCTGGCCACCCGAGACCCAAAGACAACATACGTACTAGTCCAAAATCATCATACAAACTTATTAGAACCTTCAAAACACCACTCGTTAACCCACAATGTTGACTTTGGTCAACTCTTCCAACATTAAGCCTCAACTTAGGAACCAAGTATTTCAAATCAATCCTGAACCTCTCGGATACCAAACCACCTATCCCCACACATTATAAATCATCAAACCAACCTATGAAAAACATCAAATAAGGGAATAGGGCTCTAGAATTCAAAATAACTAGTTGGGTCATTATGTTCTCCGCTTCTTAAACAAACATTCGTCCTCAAACGAGTTTAGAAATATCCCTGGACTGCTAAAGAAATATGGATATAGGCTCTGCATATCTGACACGGTCTCCCAAGTAGCCTCCTCTCTCAGTTTCCCTTCCAAAGCACCTTTACCGATGCGATCTCTTTTTACCTTAACTTCCGGATCTTACTCTCCAAAATAGTTACTAGCTCTTTTTCATGGGTCAAATTCTCATCCAAATGCACTGTGCTGAAGTTCAAAGATGTGACGTCTTCATTATACCTCTGAAGCATAAAAACATAAAAAACCAGATAAACCCCCAATAAGATAGGAGAGAAAGCAAGTCAATACGCAAACTCACCAACTCTCTCCAACACCTCCAATGGACCAATAATCTTGGGACTCAACTTGCCTTTCTTCCAAAATGTCATCACACCCTTAATGGGTGAAACTTTCAAAAGTACGTTTTTACCCTCCATAAAGGCCACATCACAAACCTTCTTGTCCGTATAACTCTCCTACCTGTTCTGAGCTGTCTGAAGTTGTTCTTGAATCAACTTCACCTTCTCCATAGCATCATGAACTAAATCAGTACCTAATAACCTAACCTCATCAGGCTCAAACCAACCAATAGGCGAACTAGGGGTGCTTATCGGGCGGATCGGGCGGATAATTACGCTTAATGGTTCGACTTATCGGTTATCGGATTATAAATGTAGTAATCCGCTAGCCATCCAATAAGACAACATACAGATTGGTATCGGATTAATAATTATCGGGTGATTATCGGGCAGCTTATCGGCTAAACCAAATAGAAATAACAATCATTCAATCAATACCAAACAGTTTCAAATCAATACCAATTTTTAATACCATCTAAGATCTAACCAAATGGTATTTTTGAATTGAAGAGTCTTCACGACTACTCATACTGTCATACACGTATTAACCAAATTTTGAATACCATCAAGACTACTCACACAGACATACACATATTAATCATTGAGATTTCGATTTTTTGAATTCTCCAATTCTCAATTCAAGAGAGAGACGAAACTGATGACTTCTTTGCCTTTTGTGGCTGAAGACAATTGAGAATTAGAAAATAGAAATTAGGGATATAGCCATGTAGGGTTTCAATACTATGTTATATACATAGGGAAAAGCGTAAATATAAAAATTCTTTACGGGTTAACGGTTTACCCGATACAAATATTGAGTAATCTGCCCCCAAACCGTTAAGCCGTTAATCATAAAATCGCAATCCATTCATCATCCATTACCCCGATAATCCGATACCAATAAGCCAGTAAGCCATCGGTTTGGTTCGGTTAACAATTTCGATTTGAATAGCC